CATACAAACCTCGAGTCCGGAACACCACAAGAGACACGTCAAAACCAGGGTCGCTATAGGGACTGTGTTTGCAAAAATACTAGGAGAGCGTATTTCACGCTCGAGCGCAGGGTTTCACGCTCAAGCAGGAGTTTGTGTCTTACGCTCGAGCGGACCGTGTTGTAACAGGTCGCGAAAGTGACATTTTAGATCACTTTTCTGTTTTCTCTCTCTCTCTAGAAGTCTCAAAAATCCAGATCTAGAGCCTCTCTTTCTAGAAATCATCTTCTCTCTTTGATTTCTCCAAATCCATTGGGATTTTGGCCATAGTTCCTTCGTCAAAGTTGTGTAACTTCTCGAGGGCTTCGTTGTGTGCAGTGGAGATCGAGTTTCATCGTTGTTGATTTTGGGGGTTTCAACTCTTTTCTTCTTCTAAGCTTAAGGTAGGGATTTTCTACACTCTAATATAGTTTTTAGCTTAGTTATTTACTATTGTGTATAGATGATGAGATTTGGTTGTGGTTTGGACAAATCTAAAATTTGGGTGTGAAATGGAAAGAGGGGTTCTTGATGTATAAGAGATAAATGAGTATGGGGGTTTGAATACAAGATCTTGGTGTACCAAAATAGTTGATTTTGGGTGTTTGGTCAATATTGGAAGAAGGGAGATTTTTTCCCTAATTTGATAAAATGATTATTTTGTAGAAATAATTGGAATTAACACTGAATATGTTAAATTGGATGGTTATTGAAATAGGTGGTGAAATTGGATATGTATTATCTCACACCTTTGGAAGTTTTAAATAAATTATTTATCTTGAGATTTAATATATGTCTAGAGATAAATGTATTAGGCTATTGGTGGAGGATAGTCATGATTGTTGTAGAAATTGTATGAGGATTAGGGGATTTAATGCTAATCTATTGTTGGTGTCATTGAATATGACCACGTTTATAAATACATTGTATATGTATGTTTATTGGGAGAAGAAAGAGGATGTACTCCGTATGTGATTATGTTTATAAATACATTGCATATGTATATTTGTTTGGGAGGAGAAAGGGGATGGACTCTATTTAAAGCAAGTTGGTCGGAGTGTCCTGGGTGAAAGACCCGAAATTTTATATATAAATGGGTGTTGATTCCTTCGGACGAAATATCCGTAAAATGGCAAGTTTGAAGTGTTTATGGGTGTTTTGCATAAATAGAAAACCATTGAGCGGTAATCTCATTTTGGTTGTTGAAAGATAATGAATTTGACTCATGAATTGAGTACTATACTTGAACTAGAAATGAATTGAGGGAAAATGGATTTAGATTGGTCTTAGTGGCATATGGGTATGCAGGCCTTGTGGATGCTTCCATATCGGTATTGTTTATATACGTGGTATTTATACCTTTGCTAAACCTCATATATTGTGTTAAATTATCTCTACTGGGCTGTTGGCTCACCCTATACGGGAATATCATTTTCAGGTGCAGGTGAGATGTTTCCTCCAAGGCAATAGCATGGATGGACTTTCGAGAAGCAAGAGCTTCTTATTTATGCCTTATGTGTGTACGTTTGTTATTTGTAAAGCCGAGGGCTTAAGATGTAATGAGCGAGACTCAATTTGTGTAACCAAGCAATGACTTGGAAAGATGTAAGCCTACATGCTATTTAACTAATTGTTAAACAATGAACTCTGATATATGAAAGTATGTTGTTTCTCACAATTATTCCGCATATGAGTTATCATTATTGTATTATTTTGGGGGCGTTACACCATTCTAGTATTTAGCCCCATAAATTCTAGAAGTATTTTTATCAAATTTAATTTTTCATTTTTGTGAATATGAAAATCTAAAATTAAGCCCACACACCCGCTACATCATGAGCTCATTTTTTAGCTTTTTTTTTTTTATAATAATAACCTCAAAAGAAATTACTAAAAAGGACATCAAAAATTTTGAGGCATTCCTTCTCACAATTAAGCTTACACACTCACTACATCATGAGTTAGGATTTATGAGACCACCCACCTCCATCACCAACCATCCATTATCTCCAAATCCCACATTCAAAACCTACCTACCCTCAAAACCTTGAAAACCCTTTGGCGGCAATATTCATGTAGCAATAGTGGCAACCATTTAATTACATATACTCCTTTGACAATGACAATGAGTAGAAGTTTTTTCGGCAACTACAACTCCATGAGACGAGAGTACAACAATGAAAGCTCAAAAGAGGTTCATAATTTTGATGGTAATCTTAGCTCAAAGGAGATTGGCCTTATAAAGGTAAGTTTCTTGAAAAAAAATAGCGAAAATAATAAAAATTGTTCGTCATTTTTTTGAGACTGAACTCTTGAGCATATGATCAAAATTTGGAAACACAAGGTCGAACGTTGTTTATTTGTTTAGGAACAGGTAACCAAAAATTTCTTATTTGCTCGAGAACAGATAATCAAAGCAGAAGCAGAAGCAGAAGCAGACAGACAAAGGATGTTGGACCACCCTTCGGTGGTAGATCGGCTGGTTGACCAGGAGGCGATCAGAGAGTGAAATCCTATCCCGTTTTGCTCACACAGAGAGCATACAAGTATAGTGAAGCCATGGATGAATCATAGAAAATCAATCAGAGAATCATGAAAGTGGATTGTGTTTTGTGTGTGAAAAGATGTAATAAAAAAAATCATACAGATGACAAACATCGTAATGAAGTAGAGAAAAAATTTCTTAATCACTACAAATTTTTTCCACTGGTTTTGGGAGGTTCCACTATCATAGGTTTTGTTAGGATTTGAGGAGAGAGACTTTTTGGGATGTAAAGGTGTGCATTTGAATGGGTAGACTGTTTTTACAATAATAATTTTGGTATTATTTAGGGGGAGAAAAGAAATTTTAAGAGTTTTAAAATTTATAAGTAAGAATCCAAAGAAATGAAAAAATTCAAAATAATTAATGAATTGTTAATAGCAGCACTCTAGTTAATACATTCTGGTTTGAATTAAAAGGATTAGATTTAATTGGTTCATAATAGCCCAGTCCAAAAGAAATGACCCATTGAAAGGTCAACTGTTTTGGGCTTGAGATTTCAGCTTGGGCTTCTATTTGAGCTGAATCAAATTTCCTTTAACATGGCCTAATAGTCTAACTTTGATTTGTTTTATTATAATGGCCTAGTACAAAAGAAATGGCCCGTTTTAAACACACATGCTTGGGCTTTATCTTGGGCTGAATCAGATTTCTGTTAAAATGGTTGTCTATAATTTAATTAGTTTGGTTATCCAAAATTATAACCAATGGGAAAGGTTATGGTACATGCACTCAAATGGTGTGTACCATATGTACCTTATAACCATAGAAGAAAATACTATAATTTCATATTTTCTGAATCATAACTAAAAAAAAAAGAAAAAGAAAAACAAAGTCATAACCAAACACAAAAATGTCATAACTAAATATATCAAAATAATGTCATAACTAATGAAGAAAATTGATTGAGAAGAAAATGTTGTTACTAAGGGTGCATATGGTATGGAGTGTGTACAATAAAAGGGATTTTTGGTGAAACCCCCATTTTTGGGCCCTTTTTTAGGGTAAAGGACAACTCAATGAATTTTCCTTCAAAAAGTCTCTAAGTAGGAGACGTGTGGCTCAATAAGGACATTCTATAATTTGTCCTTTATTTTGACAATATTGCCCTTCAATATATATATGTATATCACATATTTGAAAATCTAAGCTCATATATACACGGATCTTGTATATTCGAATCAGTGAAGATAATCTACAAAATCCGTGAAGACGATTTGTGAAATCCATGAAGACGATATCAAAATTTGAAGATCTCGGCGCCGACGATCTCGCCCTTGGCCAACAATAGACGATCTCGCCATCAATGATCAACACTCTCAATTGAACGAGAGATTACATTTCAAATCTATAAAATTTGTATTAGATTTTGTGAGTTTCATCGAGATTTGTGAGTATTAATCGCGTTTTAGAGGTTTTGCTTCAATCACATGTTTGATTATTGTTCGAGTTCAATTAGGTATGTTGATTTGTTGATTAGTTTTTTTTTTTTTTTGATTTATTTTTATTGTGTATGATCTAATTTTGTTTGACAGAATGAGAGTAAAATTTTACTCTGGTACTATATACTTTGTTTTTGTTTGATAAAATGAGAGTAAAATTTTACTCTGGTGTTATCTGTTCTATTTTTATTTTTTGATACAATGACAGTAAAATTTTACTCTGGTATTATGTACTTTTTTTATTTGTGTTTGAACTTGTTGCGTCAGTAAAATTTTACTTTGATTGACAGTAAATTTTTACTGTCAATTGATTATATATTTGAAAAATGGTTCCACCTCTTATGTTTTTATGCAAGTATGGTGATCATACCATTGTGTTTAAGGTTGTATCAAACTGCAAGTTGAAGGACTTAACTGATTTCTTAAGTCGTAAATTGAAGAAGTTTGACATTAGTGATTGCATACTGTTATCGTACTGTTTACCTGAACATTCGCAATGCATGATTGATGATGATTTTGACTTTTAGAATATGTTGTTGCATGTTTATCCCCTTGGTGTTGACTGGGTTGATGTGACTATTATTGAAATGGGCATTTCAAGTGAAACATGGAGTTAGAGAATTGGGTGAGCCTAGTGGATCCAATGTTACTGATAATGAAACGGATTTACTCACTATGTTTTGTCAACATGAAAAAAGGAATTTGTTGCCTTCTGGATGGGTGAATGGATTTACTCATGTAGGTCAAAGATTTATTGGAGGTGCAAAGGATTTCCAGACTACATTATGTAAATATGCCATTGAGAAAGGATTTGAGTTTGTGTGTGTGAAAAATGAGAAGTGTCGGGGTCACTGTTGTGTGTTCAATGCGGGAGTCCAAAGGTTGTTTATGGCGAGCACATGCATCTCTAAAGAGTGCTAATAATTTTTTTCTACATTTGGACTCTACATGATGAGCATAATTGTGGAGCTGCAGTTCGTACTTCTAAAAACTCAAGGATGAGTTTAAATTTGGTTACAAGTATAATTGTTAATGAAGTTCGTGTGAATCCCCAAACTCATCCAATTGATGTTGTGTGTCAATTTACAGATCAATATGGGCTCACCATTATGTACAATCATGTTTGGTTGGGAGTTGAGAAAGATAGGACTACTACTTTTGGGGATTTTGATGAGATTCGATGGTATATGGATATTGTGATGAGCACAAATCTTGGTAGCTATTTGCAGCTTGACTATAACCATTAAAGCGGACGGTTAAGAGGTTTTTTTGTTCCATTTAATGCTTCCATTCAAGGGTTTAGGCATTGTCGTCCTCTATTGTTTATCGATGGTCCTTTTCTAAAGGGCACCTTGTTAACAGTTACAACGAAGGATGGGGATCAAGGTAAATATTACTGTCATAGTTTATTGAAAAGTAACAAATTACTTATTTTCAGAGTAACATGTTACTTTTATTCAGAGTAAAAATTTAATATATTTGTTCTTTTTGTTTAATATACTTACTAATTGTAAAATGTTATTTTTTAGGTTTTTTTCCTCTTGCAATGGCAATTGTCTATACAGAGACTACAGACAGTTGGGAATGGTTTTTTATGCATTTGTCGAATATATTGTTGGATGAAAGACCAATTACCTTTATATCTGATCGGAACGCTGAACTTTAGGAGGCTTTACCCAAGGTTTTACCTACTGCTTACCACTGTTTTTGTCTCCAACACTTGAAGGCCAATTTGAGGGATAGGTTCTCCGGTCCAAGGTTTAGCAACACTTTCAGGAGTAGAATAGTTTTTTTTTTTTTTTTTGTCTTCTTCATATGCTTATGCTCCGACAGTAGGATGTTTTAATCAGTGTTTGAAAGAATTACAAGATGTAATGACCCAAATTTGTTTTTTTTTAAATAGCCAGTGCATAATTTAATTGAGCAAATTTTTGAATTTGAGTGTGTAAATTCTGTGCGAAAAAAGTTCGGTTTTTTATTTTTAAAAAATAGTTCCCGATCTCAAAAAATTATAAAATTTTTACATGTTGTTCCCATATGAGTCTAGCACATTGGATAACAATTTCAGAATTTAATGATGAGTATTTAGTTTATGAAAATTCACGGACTGATTGGTGTTCAGTTTAATTTATAGCAGAATTTTGTTATTTAATTTTTAATGTTTAGATCATGATTTGGATAGGTTTGTTGGGTTTATTTTGGTATATAATTGGGCCATGTTTGGATTATGAGTGAGAATTTAATTCAAGACCCATGGCTTGGATTCAATTTAATTGGAGTTTGTTTATGACTCATGTTTAACTGTTTGGTCCTTTTTAATTACGTGATTAGTAGTGACCATATTGGGAGTTGTAATTATTTATTATACATGGTTATAATATATATTTGAAGTTGAATTTGTGGTGTGTACCATATGGTGAAAATTTGTATATTTTTATAGTGTATAAAATGGGTGTATATTTCGTGGTGAGCAAAATATTATATTTTATAGTGTACAAAATGTTATATTTTGTGGTGAGAAAAATTATATCATTTTATAATTTATATTATAAAATTTTAAGATATTATTACAAAAATTAAATTTTTTTTTTAAAAGAAACCATTCTTGGGAAGACAACCCACGTGGGGTTGTCCCACACGCCCCTCCATTTCCTTCCTCCTCCTTTTTGCTTTTCTTGGGCTGAACAGAGAGCCCAACTCTCTCTCTCTCTCTCTCTCTATATATATATATATATATATTAGGATTTTTGTTTGGTAATTTTTGGAAGAAAAATTATGTTGAAAGGTTAAGAATGTTGACATTTTGAGATTGATTTGGAAAAATCATTTTGTGTTGTTAATTTTGCAAAGAAATCCGAAAATAAAATTTAATAGTTGTATGATTATATTTACATCATATTATAATTAGATGATTTATTTTGAGAAATATAAAGTTGATTTTTTTTTTTTATCTTTCAGTTTTGGAATTTATTTTTGAGAAGAAAAATAAATTGATGTTGATGAATATGGTGTAAATTGTTAAGTTGATATTATAGAGTTGTTTTGGGATTAAAAACTCTAAAAGTATTATATTCATGAAATATGATTATGCTTGAAAGATGAGTTGGGTTAAGTTATGTTTGGTATTATTTCTTTTAGAAAAATGTGAATATAAGAAAATTACTAATTTAGTGAATTAAATTAGTTTGGTTAAAAGTTTATATCCTTTATGGTTAAAAGTGTGTTATTGAGATTATACCATAACTTTTAATATAGTAGGATGAAAACGTTAATATTTCATAAGTATGAGATATTGGTGAAATTTATTTTAGTTGTCTTGGTTGAAGTGGAACAAAATTTATTGAAAGTTTTCTGTGAGTCAAGACAATTGAGAAATTGATTTTTTATTTTAATAGTTGGAGTATGCTAATATGTTGCTTTTGAACATCAAATTTATATGTATGTTTTCTTGCAAAATCTAGATGATTTTCGAAATCACCCTTTGATTTGTTTTGAAAATTGATTGTTGGTTCAAGAAGATGAGAGATTTTTTTTGAAAGTGGGTTTACTTTCTTGTTCCTTTTAAAATAGAAATTGAGGTTTTGAACTATGAGGATTGAAGAGAGATGTTTTTGGTGACTTTCTTTCAATAAATGAAGATGAGTCGTTTTGGTGAGAAAACCTAGAAATTGGGGGTTTTTAAGAAAGATGTAGACAATCTTTGAAGATGTTATATTTATTTTGTGTGCCAAAATAAATGATGTTTGAAAAATTATTTATTTGTTTACATATAAATGATGGTTTTCATGGAATATGAGAATTGTTGAAGTTTTGAAAATTATTGCTTAAATGTTAATATAGTCTTGAAGTGACTAAATGGTTGAGATTACTCTAAGTGTGGGAATTTTGTTGTCCCATGGATGAATTGGAATAAAAGCATTTATATTCATCTTGAAAAATTATATTGAAATGAGAAATGAGAATTTTGATCATAATGGGGATATTGTGTGGAAATATTGAAAGTGAAAGAAATATTGCATTGTATTATTAATCATTGCATTGGCATATCAATTCATTTGATAATGATGAGTTTTGAAATTTGATTTGAAAACTTTGCATTGAGTAAGAAATGTTGGGAAACAAGTTGTCATGAAATGATTTTGAGGTAAATAAGGTGGTAAGTCTTGAAAGGTGGTGTAAATGATAGGTATCGAGCCTTCTAGTTAATACTTGTAAAAATGACAGATTACAGGTGTCGAGCCTTCCAGTTAATACTAGTAAAAATGACAGATTCCAGGTGTCGAGCCTTCCAGTTAATACTAGTAAAAATGACAGATTACAGGTGTCGAGCCTTCCAGTTAATACTAGTAAAAATGACAAATTGGTAGTACTTGTATAGTCTACTTGCAGACACCAATCTAGAGATTTCCTGAGTCGTATTTACCATCTTAGAATTTTATTGAAATTGTTGAATTAATGTGTTTTTTCAAAATGGCATTGTGCGTAAGATTTTCAAAAGATGAGAAAAATATTTTGAGCATGACATGACATATGCATTCATCTCATAAGACCGTATAAAATGGATTTGATGAATTGTTTAATTATTTGATTCAATTGATAATGAGATAATTGAATGAATTGTAAAGGATGTCCTGTTGCTATTGAAGCATGTTTATTTATTTAAGTTAACTTGTTGTGGTTAATTAAATAAATTGGATTTAAGAGATTATGTAATAAAATCATATGGTTTTGACATGATATGATTTCACGTATATGTATGAGTATTTTGGTACCCGATCTTCTAATGTTTTAATATGAGATTGCTTGGTGAGCTAGTGGTTGCTCACCCCCTGCCTGTTCATGTGTACAGAGAATGCTTTTCAGATTTGAAGATCAAACAATGGGTTTTACCATTTCATAAATGTAATGTAGTGATGGATTGTACTACTTCATTTGTTGTTTGGCTGAGTGCTATTTTTTTTTATAAAGAGTAGCATCCTCTCTTTTATTGTAAGCCTCAGGGCATTTCTTTTATTTGTATGTAAATGTCATTGTTGTATAACAAGAGGGAATATGTATATTTAATTATTCATCATTTCATCCAAGGATGAAATGTTATTGTAATGGACTTAATTAATAAATATTGGTAATGTTATCCGAGTAATAAAATATGGGGCATGACACAAGATGAGGGAAAGGGATCATTTGTAGGTTTCTATCCAATTTTCCTTATGACAAGTAGACTAATGCATATTTTAAAGGACAAAGATACGGTGAAATGCACTCGAATGTGGTGGAGTCTTTCAATTCATGGATCCTTCAAGCTCAGCATTTGCCCACTACGAAGATGATTGATTCAATTAGGTTGAAGATCATGGATTTGATGTTAAGAAGGAGAGAACAAGCTAAGAAATAAAATACTTTTCTTTATCCAGAGATGGATTCAACATTAGTAAAGGCTCTTAAAAGTGAAAGAACTTAGTCATAAGTGATCATGTTTTTGAGGTTCAATCCTGGCCCTCAGTTACCGTTGACCTCTTGAATAGAACTTGCTCATGTTACCAATGGAAATTGAATGGATTTCTTTGTGCTCACGTGGCGACCGCTATCCAAAAGAGCGAAGGTGATTTGTACGCACACGCTGAACCATTTTATTACACTAGCAAGTTCAAAGCTTGCTATGCTGAGTCCGTTTATCCAATACTCACTATTGAGAAACCTCTGGTAGCTATGGATGATCTTGTTGTCCTTCCTCCAATTTTTAAGAAGCCACCCGGTAGGCCAATGAAGAATTGGATTCCATCTAGGGGTGAGAAGATAAGACGAGTACAGTGTGGTAGATGTGAGAAGTACGGTCATAATATGAAAACTTGTAAGGAGACATTCCATGAAAGAGATTATTACTTCGTAATAAAAGTATGAAAATAATGCAGTTCTTCTACAATAAATAGTCCATAGCAATAATAGTCTAGTTTGTTAGACTGGACTTGTAAAGAGACATTGCAATAAAAGACATTTTTACTATGTTCTTAAATGGTTATCTATCCAAGTTTCTGATTTGCTTTGTGGTTGAATTTGGCATTTTAATATATTTTTTTAATGTGGTTGAATAAGTTTCATGTAAAGAAACTTATAATGGAGTTTGTTCAGTAGGTGTGAAGGATTGAAGTAAAATTCTAGTCTAAAAGAAAGTAAACATGAAATTAAAACTTTACTACCTTTTAGAGTAAAATTTTACTATCTTTTAGAGAAATGTACTTTGAAATGAAAGTAAAATTTATTATGTTGTTGAATGGTTGTCTATGGCTGTACTCAGCCTGTGCTTTCAAAGTAAAATTTTACTTTATTTCAGCGTAAACTTTTACTTTATTGCTGAGTAAAATTTTACTTTTTTCAGAGTAAAACATTACCTTTATTCATATGAAAGTAAAACTTTACTACCTTTTAGAGTAAAATTTTACTGTCTTTTAGAGAAATTTACTCTGAAATGAAAGTAAAATTTTACTATGATGTAGAATGGTTGTCTATAGTTGTGCTAAGCCTGTGGTTTCAGAGTAAAATTTTACTGTCAAACGGTATGTGTGTCTAATTGAAAAAAATTTCCAACCTGCACCAAAATTTATCACAATATACAAACTCCCTTGATGCTCATTATGCAATCTTTGTGCAAAAATAATCTAGCAACACAACTACTTATATTATCAAGACACACAAGTATAACTTGTATCATTATATTCTATCTATAACAACGTTCATTCCTGGTCAAAATAATATCCTACTATAATAATGTATTAATCACCAAACTACAGTAAAATTTACTAGAACAATAGACATAGCATGTACTATCTATTACTCTTTTAGCATTCTTTCACTTACAATTACTATTTCAAAATTCTTTCATTTGAAAAAAGCAAAATTACATACATCATTCATAGATACAAAAAAGTAGTTCCCAAAAGTTGTCTACATCATCGTCCTCGAGGTCTTATCTATTGGGTATTTTTCTTTTGAGGTTGAATTGTTCCTCCATGCTTTTGGATAATCATTTAAAAATTGATGTACTGTTGATGCTCAAAAATTGTTAATTTCATCCTCTTCCATAGACTTTGCAATAGGCTCATCTCTTATGATTTGACGCATGATAGAACAAATAATAATTTCGCAATCAACACTGTTAATAAAAATCAAGATCTTGTTAGATTTATTCAAATTTGAAAACTACCAACTCAAGCATGTAGTAGTAACATAAAATACTTATGATGTTGAGTGTTGTTGTGGACTATCTTTCACCAAAACCAAGTTTGCAAACTTTCTTGTACTTCTCTTCCTTTTGTTGCTCAACTTGTTCTCAATATATGTTATCTAACATCATTGCATAATTGTTTGGTCACAATTAAATACAAGAATAAAACACAGTAAAAATTTACTGTTAATATGATGCAAAGCACTTACAATCTGTTTTGCATCCTTAAGGAAATGATCTTCTTTGTTGTCTCTTGGCCTTGAAGAATTGTAATGCCTCCACTCATTAGAGGTGGGTGCGGGTCGGTTGCGGCCACGGAACCTGAAATCCGCCATCCGTCCTCTAGATTGGCAAATTGGAGAAAATAAATCCTCATCTGTCCACCAATCCGGCGAATCTGGATTGAGCGGATTAGCGGTTTGGCGGATGGATGCGAATCGGTTTGGCGGTTTAAAATTTTATAAATTTTCAACATAATTCAACTTGTGCACTTCCTCAAAAAAAA